GAAGGTATTTGGTACAACACAGAGCGGGTTTCTCTGCAGCAGGGACTGGAACACTTGTCAGGATAGAAGGAAAAATAGATGGGATAAAATACCGTCACATTCTTGAGGAAAATCTTCTGCCCTCTGCCAGAAAGTTGTCAATGGGAAGAAGGTTCACCTTCCAACATGACAATGACCCAAAGCACACAGCAAAAATGACCACACAGTGGTTGAAGGAGAAAAATGTGAATGTCCTTGCATGGCCTAGTCAGAGCTCAGACTTAAACCCCATTAAAAATCTGTGGAATGACTTGAAGACTGCAGTCCACAAACGCTCACCATGAAATTTAACTGAACTTGAGCAGTTCTGCAAAGAAGATTGGGCAAATATTGCAAAGTCTAGATGTGCAAAGTTAGAAGAGACATATATCCCAACAGACTAAAGGCTTTAATTAAAGCAAAAGGGGGTTCAACAAAATACTGACACAAGGGGGTGATCCTTTTTCCAACTCAGTGATTCTGTTTTTGAATTTTTTTCTGACATGTTGGTGATATATCTTTCACTTGGATGTTATAAGTTACATTGAGTAAATACAGCTGGATAAAACAAAAACTGTGTCTGTCTTCATTTTAGGCTGCAAAGCAACAAAATGTTTTGATTTTAAAGGGGGTGATTCTTTTCTATACCTACTGTACAAGCCAGAATTAAACAATGCTCTTGTATTTAGAACTTTAGAACATTGTCACTCACTGCTAATTTCTAGACCCAAGTGCTATGTGCGCAATTCTATGAAATACTCTCTAGTGATCAGCCACAGGAAATACAACCTACATTATTATCCAGTAATTCCATTTGCTTGAATCCTCCAGGACTTAAAAAGGCTCCCAAGAGCCATATCCTTTAGTATTTAGTAAGTTGACTGACAACCGAAAAAATCTCAAAACACAAACGTACAACTAGGAGGCAGCTCACCCTCTTGGAGGGTTCAAGGAAAAGGAGTTACAAGGTAATAACTTACGTCTTCCTTATCATCCTTCAGTACAGTTCGCTAGAGAGACTAGCAAGATGTTACTTAGGGTGCACCATGGCTTAAAGCACTTTCTGTCCAAAAGCTTAAACTTGGCTGGAAAGCAGGCCAATCCTGTAGTACTTTACAGACCTGTTAATACTGGTGCATGTAGTTGCTTTGCAAATCTGCTCAACAGTGGTACTGGATCAATTGTCCCAGGATGTGGAGAGAAATCTTGTGCTGTGACTCTTGGAGGAGAGGATTAACCTGCTGTAGCATAAATCATGCTGATCGCTAGACTTATACTTGGATGCCTTACAACCTTTCTTGGGTCCTTGGAAAAACATAAATAGAGCATTGGATTTCCTAAAAGGCCGGGTGCTTCTTATGTCTAAGGAGGCGAACGTGGCCTCTTAAGGTGTTGACAGAAGGATAGCAGAGTAACTCCCTAATTTCTGCAAAAGTTTATGACTACTCCAGAATGCTGGACATGTCCACATGATGACTTTCTTGGAGAAGCATGAGGAAGGGCTCCCTAACTGAAAGGACCAGTTCCTTTCTGGCGGCCTGGGCATAGGGCATGAATTAGTGGACGAGAGGTATGATGTACTGTATAATGATAATATAGATGACTGGAAGGGAATCTTCTTTTAAATACATTTTCATTAACATTTTATATACAATTTGTAGATTGAGGATAAAAGATATATTATATATATACAGTATATGGGGCATTGACAATTGAACAGTAACGAAACCATTTAGAAGCACAATTATATGCTAGTGGTGAGTGATTTTAACTTGAGCTAAGCAACAAAAGAGACTGTTCAGAAATAAGGGCTTATTAATTTAGATTCAGTCTAATATTGTTACTATAGAGCTTTTCTATCTTTGAATGACGTGGCTGCTGGTTTTCTTTTTTTTGTCTTTCCTACTTGGCCCCCTCTCAATCATGACTAAGATTAGGGTAATCATAGGTTTTGAAGAATTATTATGCTGGGAATTAGATGAGATATAGGTCTATCATTGATATATTCTCTCAATAACTGTGAGGCTGGTAGTTCCTTTCCTTGAAGAATCTCCTGTGGCCCCTCAGAGGTAAAGAGGCCATGCAGTTGCACGAAAAAAATCAGTGAATTTAAAATAACATTGAGGAGAACCATTGTTGAAGCTGTAAGTTTATAATGTACTACAAAACACAAAAAGAATCCCTAGCACACTTGCCAGCTGGCCTGCAACAAAATTAATTACCCTGTCTAACAATATACTTAAAAACAGAGGTTTAAGGTGCACAAACCTTTGCCCAAAAATATGTAGAAGCCACACCGCCCCTTCAAGGCTCCTCTGTGAAGTGTGGTCCTAACTCTATTTATGAATCTCCATGTTGGAGCAAAACAAACTTTTTCAAATTATATTGTTTTTGCAAGTCCTTTAACTTCCTGCAGACTGGTCACTGTACATAAATGACCAGTTCGCTGCCCCATTGTTCCAGAAAGACATACCTGTATCTGTCATACAGCGGGGTGTATCGGATATAGGCCCAGAGCCGGCTCTGTGCCTTGTGATCACTGTGATTGGTTATCACAGCGATCACAGCCCTCCTCTACTTTTTACAACAGAGGATGGGAAGAGTAAAGTAGTAATTAATTGATGACTCATTAATTACTACCTAGTAAAAACAAGCTGCAGCAGTACAATATGATAAAGAATGTTACATATTTTTAACCCTTTAAACCCTTCTTTTTTACAGTATATGTCAGCTCCCTTCTATCTCTGCTCTAAGCTGTGTTCTAACCCCTTCACCTCCCTTATATCTGAACATTAACCCCACCTTCTTCCTCCCACTGTATCCGATCTGTACTTTAACCCCTTCTTCACTTCCACCTCCCCCTTTGTAGGACATTTAAAGTATCTAGTGCACCATTACCAGGCTCCATGTTTTAACTCCCTCATTACCATCATGTTTCTTAATTTGCCCCAAAAAATGCAGTAAAAAATCATCACCTTGGGTGAACTTTTGGAAAATATGGGACCCTTGGGTTAACTTTTTTCAACTACCATCCTTTTAACACCCATTGTTTGGTTTGGTCATATGACAAAAAACTTCAATAAATGAAGCTTTTGCTATCTTAAAAGGACTGATGTGCTGGTGACATTTCTACAATCTTGGGATCAACCCGCCTCTTCCTCTTTCCCCCTTCCCTTTACCACTTCTTTGCCCTCTTTTTAATTCTTTACTTCCCTTCCCTTTTGATGTTATGTTACCTGGGTTGCCAAGTGTCTCAATCCTTAGTCTCTTTTTCTCCACGTACACCCATTGGAGGTGATAATAGAGGCCACCAAAGCTGATTGGATTGCTGTACTTATTTACCAGTGTTGTCCATTATAACTTCTTTCGGTGTGTAAAGTAGCCACCACACCAAGCTCGCTCCTGTGATGGACTACAATCTCATGTTTAGTTTACAAATTTGTATTGAGATTATAGTCTATCTCAGGAGTTAGTTTGGAACGGTGTCTACTTTACAACACACACAGGTACCATGGGGAACAAAAGTAGCCACCCTCCGGAAGGAAGGACAGTGTCAGCACCAATTCAGAGATGATTTGAGGATCTACAGCTGAGTGATACACAAATAAGATACATTTTTATTAATAGATAAGGTACATCCTACCCTACAGTAGATTCAACAAAATATGTAGTTTTCACATTGACCACTAGATGTAGATATGAGAACACAGCTCTTCAGTCTTCACAAAAATAAGAGGGTACTCCACTTAAAATGAGGAATTTATTAAATCAGTCTTTTTGTCAACAGCAGTTACATAAGTTACACAGAATGTTTAAAGTTTCCACGTGTATTTTCATTACTTTAGAATACAGGCAAAATAGTACCGGACAACATGTACATAAAAATACCTCAGCATTCAAATAAGGCCATTATTTAAAAAACAAAAACAATAGCTAATATTTCTCATATTTTTTTTAATCCTAAAGGAGTTTTTCACTGTGAAGAGGACCTTTCACTTGAAGGTTCTTATACATCAATGAGTTTAATGCGAGTACCTGCCATTTTTGGCAAACAACATAGACTACAAAATTTTATATCCTGCATCAAACTAATGTACAAAATGCCTGAAAAGTGACAAGTCCACTTTAATTAGAAGGTAACCCCCCCAGCCTCCAACCTTTAGCTGAGCCCCCTTATACCTGAATGAGTGGACATTGATAGCTGTGGCAATGTACAAAGCATGGGACAAAAGTCCTACTGCTACTTTTAAATAAGAGTACAGGAAGGAGCACCCACGCAAGTATATACACTGAGGCGTCTAAGCAGATTCACTAGTTTGAAGCTGAAAACATATAAATGTGTACCTGACATGCATAGTAAAGGTGCCCATTTTGTACGCTGTCAGAATGCCTATTAAAATATAAACCCTTTCAAGTTAATCTAAAATCAGTATTTTAGTTCAGGATGGACACCAACTGGCTAAATCGCCGACTTGATCCTTTTATCCCTTGGTGCCAAATGTCCGCAATCAATACCCTGCCTTGCTGTGCTGCCATGAACATTACAAAGATGTCACGTCTGGATTATAAATTTAAAGGCATATCTAAACCCAAAAATAAAATGTCATATATTGCAGCTTACCAGGCTTTAAAAGTGGTGGCGGCATTATTTTAATTTTTTTCCTTCATTTTCACCTGGTGATTCTGACATACTTCCTGTCCTAATATGACAACGCTCATTCACTCTACTTTATCAGGGCAGCAAAAACAGGACAGGACTTCTAGCAATTCTCCCTATCCTCAGAACAATATAACTGATAACAGTCAGCACCGAAAGAGTTCACAGGAAGTTATTAGCTGACAAGAGTTCTGGCAGGTTTAAGTATGTCTTGCACTTATCAAACAGATAACCAAAACGCTTCCAATGGTATATTTAACAATCCAAATGAAGCAATTATGATACATTCAATGTTAGGATTTACATACACTTTAGGGCCTGTTCACACAGTTATGTATGCAGTAATGCAAATTACATGCACTGATGCAATGTGGTGCCATTCATTTGAATGCCACCACAATGCACCATCCAACAGTGTTGCCAAAAATACCGCATGCACGGTTACCGCAACAAATAGTGCGAATGGACTGTTAATTTACCTTCACTTTACGACAATGCGTCAGGAGAACTAAGACTCATCTCCTAACTTTGTACTCTAACAAGATTTGGTAAACCGACAGGCATATTTAACCACATCCCTAAGAGATACATAAGAAGTCATCAGACACAACCCAATGGTGTCCACCCAAAATTATAACCTTACTAAAATAAATAAAAAATCACAGGGCCATGAAACACAAATGACATTTACTTACAAAATGGCCACCTTTGTTCTATGCATGTACCAGTTGCGCTTTCTGTGTCAGTGTTCAGACCAAACTATGAGATGTAATCTTCAGAGCTAGGTTTAATGCTATGAAAACAGCTAATAAAAAAATAAAATAAGGCCTATAGTAAATACAGTTGCCCTTGGAATTTCACTCTTCAGTCGCCTTCATTAACTTAAATTCACAAAGTGCACAAAGTATACTTAAAGAGAAAAAAAAAAAATCTTTTGCTTTCTATTCTACATCTCGACAGCTGCCCAGTCATAATACTTAGTGGTCTATTGGAACATTGCTTCATTCTCCTTATAAAAGAACGGTAAAAAGGTCACTCTAAAATGTCAGAGTCGCTAACCTTGCTGTAAACTAAAAGTAGAAAAAAAAGTTTATTTTTTTCTGATGGCGTAAGTTAATAAAGATACAAAACACTAGAAATGACCAAACTTTTAAAGAACAAGCACCACAATTGACATCAGCATTCCAGTTTGTAGTGTTTAACTATGTAACATGTTTCACTCCCAATCTACTTCATCAAACTCAGAGTCGTCCTCTGAGTCGCTGTATTCCACAGCAATTCGCCGAGACAAGATGGTAGCCACGTCATTCTCAATGCGCTCGTGCTTGGCTTCCTGTTCGCGCTGTTCTTCAACTTTACGAAGTTGAATTCCTGGAACAAAGGCACAATTTTAGTTAGAATCTGAAATTAATCAACAAGGAATTCACATGAAAAACAAACTTCACATAGTCTTATTTAAAATAGTGAATTGCACTGTCTCAGAATATATTCCTGTAGCTAAAGTTTATGTATAAGCAGTTTTTGGATAGAGTACCGAAGCGTTAAAATGACTGCGTATATATAGATAGATAGATCTATCTATATATACACTGAGTGGCCAGATTATTATGACCACCCCATCAGTACTTTGTTGGGCCACGAGATAATTCCACGAGATGACTTCGTTGGGCCGCCTCGTGACTCCACGAGATGTTGAAAGGTGATGCGAGGAATCTGACACTGCACTGTTACCCTTCTGTTGTCTTGTACCAGTCTTGCCACTCTCTTTAACAACAGCTGATCTTGAACATTTAACTAATTCTGCTGTTTTGCTGATACTCGCTCCATGGCTCCGAGCACCAACAATCATCCCACGTTCAAAGGCTGTTAAATCGCGTTGTTTACCCATATCTTCAGAACAAAATCACTTCTGTCGTGGTAAACAACCTGCTTCCCTATTTATAATGGTCTGGCCCTCTAGCAACTTCAGCGCAAAATTATAGCTAATTATAGCTAATTTGCCTACAAACATCAGGTGGTCATAATAATCTAGCCACTCAGTGTATAGATATATATATATATCTATATATATCTATCTATCTGCTGTCTTGTGTTCCATTGGGGGATATTTCCCTTGACTACCTGTCCCAGAGACACAAACGTAAGAAGACATCTCTACAAAGTTAGAGGAAATTTCTCTCCTATACAGTTGTCATTGAAACAGGTGCCCAAATCGTCACTATGACAATCTGCGAGGGGAAATCCTCTAATGAGGGCACGTTGGGGAGATTCAACCTGTCTATAAAGACAAATAGAGAGGGTGAATCTCCCCAATGTGCTCCCTTTAGAGGATTTACCTCACCACCATGATAATTACACAGAGTGAATCTCCCTATGATGCTCAATTAGAGGATTTCCACCTACCATCAAGACATATAGAGAGGTTAACTCTCCCAAGGTGGACACAGACAGCAATAAAACTTGACAGAGGTTTTAAAACGTTTTGGCTTTACATATACTTTTTTCTTTGTCTTCCTATCAGCATGTTCATTGTTAGCACATGAACACTACAGGACATCCTACTGGCTCCTTATGTTGCCCCTCCTTCTCCCACTCTGAGCTCTGCTGTACAGGGGAATGAAAGAAGGTGATTGAAGTCGAATTCAGGTACTTACTCTGCTTGCATTTAAAAAGTAGATTTAATGATCTGTTATCTGACACAGAGCTGCATTAATTTGTGCATCTGCATGGCTTTAAACCTTTAAGCTTTTCCATGTGTAAAGAAAACATGGAAGTAATTTAATGCAGCTAAAAAAGACAATTCTCGGAATTCTGATGAAAAATATAAATCACTTAATGTTTATGATTGATTTTTTAAATCACGTAGGGTGCAGTCTGGTACCAATCAGGCTGGGAACCATTAGTGTGCACAGTCCATTAGCTGAGAACCACTAGTTTATTTGAACCATCTACTTGAACATGCTTTTTGCAATTTTACATCAAACATGTTTATGATTTATTTACGATTCTGTTTTGTGTCATTATTTTACATGTAACTTTGCAAAATAAACAAGTGTTTCCATTTTAAAATCCAACAAGCCATGAATGGCAAAGTGGTCATGCAAACGCAATTCTAACCTTTTCGTATTGCTTCCAGTAGAACACTTCTTGCGTCACTGATAACTGGTAGAGTTGATGGATGCCGCTTGGGATCAGGAGCAAATTGTGATGGTGGGGAGGAGGGATGCAAAGGAGCATGAGAGCCAGGTACAATAGATGCAAGAGGATGTAAACTGGCAGGTGGGTGCGAGAGTAGGGGGACTGCAACAGGGGAAGAGGGACGCATTCCAGGAGGAGGTAAAGGTGGTGGAGGAGGTGGTGGTGGAAGCCCCTGTGCTTCAGTTTGTGGAAGTGGATGCACTGGCACAGCTTCACCTGCTTGACCAGAACGTGATAATGGAGGGGAAGGCTGTACAAGAGGAGGGGCTACAGGAGGTGGTGCTGGGTGAAGTACTCCAGGCGCTATCTGAAGAGGAGCTGGTGGTGGTGGAACAACAGTATTCTGCAAGCTAGTTGCAGGAGGTGGGGGTGGTGGAGGAATAGGAGGCGGAGGAGTGGAGGATATAGATGAGCGCAGTGAAGATGCAGAAAGTGCAGATGGAAGGGGTGGAGGAGGAGGAGGAAGAGGTGGTGGTGGTGGTGGAGGAGAGGGGCTCACAAACACTTGCGTTCTTCCCGTGGCTGGAGACTGTGGTCGGTTTTCAGTAAAATTTTGTGTGGCACTAGAAAGGTAACACAAAGTGATGATAGTAACAGTTTCAAATAAAAGTTAAGAAAATAAATATGGAAAATACATTTGTAACAAATCAAATATGCCCTCAGGCCTTCACAGTAGACAATAATAGCCACACTTCAATATACTACAGCAGGTATGGAATCAATTTTTGAAAACAGAATTATACAAATAAATAAAAATAACAAAAAGAAAAATCAATGTAGGCTTCAAGTCTGTAACAATTGAGTGAGATGTAAAAAACATTCTTTGGAGTATATTGCAAAACGTTATACCACTATACTCAGAGCTACCGGGATTAGAGATGGGCGAGTCTGCCCAGGGAGTTTATAGAATCATGTTTGAAAGTCTCAAAGATTGTATCACTAATATATGCTTCATCACAGCTCACCATTTTGGTCACCTCTTCAAAAGCTGCCAAAATACTGTCCTAAATGATGAGCCATTGACTCCCCAGAGCCTGTCCTTCTGCCATAAGCGCAACGGTAGTCATTGACAGCACACTTCTGCTGGTGCAGCCTCTGCAGCAGGGCTAACATTGATTTCCAGTGTTTAGGGGTGTCACAGATGTAGCAGTTAGCAGGCAGATAATGTTTACGCTGCCAGGAGAACAATAGTTAGGTATGACTGCCTAAATAACCCAAAAACCCTTCTGATTTAAGGAACCTCCTCAAAGTTGGGGTATCAGAACCGCTGCACCACCAGGTTGAGGACATGTGCCAGGCAAGATACATGTGTGAATTTTCCCAGGTAAAGGGCAGCCAGCAGGTTAGCTTCATTGTCACACACGACCTTGTCTGGCTGAGGTTGGCTTGGGGTCAGCCACCTCTCAGCTTGGCCCTAGATAGCTGTCAACAGCTCTGGCCTAGTGTAGCTTCTGTCCCCCAGGCAAATAAACTGCAGCACAGTATGGCAAGGGTGAGACGTGGCACTTGGGGGGCATAGTTGGTTCTGAGGAGTCAGAAATGAGGCCAGCGAGAAGAGGGTACAGGGGACTGCATTGTCAGACAAGTCATGTGATGGCATTACCAGCTCCACCGGTGTGCCCTGTCCTGCATCTTTCCCAGCCACCAGAAGACTGACCCAGTGTGTCATGAAGGATGTGTAGCATTCCTGCCCATGCTTACTGGATCATGTGTTCGTGGTCATGAGTACCCTCCCACCAACAGTATGATCCAGTGACAAAGACACACTACAACCCACAATCTGGTGGAGGGTAGGAATTGTTTTTGGGCTAAATAATGGTGGTTGGGTATCTGCCACAGTGGTGTAGCACGGGCTATAAATCACAGAAAGGGGCTGCATATGACAAGGAAAAAAAGGAAGGCTTTGTCAGCCATTGAACTGTCTCCTGCGTGTGCTGTGGCTATACAGCATAGCCACTTAGAGAGAAAAGGCTGACATGCCTTGTCTCCAGATGGGATGGTTCAACCACCACCTTGTCGTGCATAACCTGCTCGCCCCCTACTACCTTTGTATGCGGAACCTTTGCCTCTCATTTTAGGCCTGCCTAACTTTTTTTAATAAAGGGTATTGCCTAAATTTATTGGCAGCTATGCTTGGTGCACACTACTTTACCGTGCAAGTATGCAACATGCGACAAACAAAAAGGGCAGCTTTGCCTGCATCAGTAACAAGTGTATGATGTACACACTGCCGCTAATAATATAACACAATAATATATAGAGCATCACACTACAATTTACAGTAATTTAGTGCCTTATAGCACAGTATAGCCCCTAAATAACAAAGCCTCGATATCTGCCCTTCTAAGAAAGCTGACCTAAGTTCAAATTCCAGACAGTGCATTATGGTAACAAAGAATAGGATCTGCCGAATTCCTGCATTAGTTTAAAAAGAACCCTGAGCATCGAACATGCAGGGTTCACCTCCAACCCACTAGCAGCGAACCTGAACCTCATTCCTAACTAGGATAAACGAATTAAAAAAATTAAAATGATGCCTTGTACCTTGGTGAGCCCCATTATAACTCCCTCCAGCTTAACATCCGGCAACATCTACACACCCAAAATTCCTAATCTCTGCTGACTATTGATAGCCCACACTGAATACCTGTACAGGCTCAGAGTACTAAAAAACAAAAACAAAACAGGAGACATGGAAAGTATGCTATCAACAGGATCTTAAGACAGCTGTTTTTTTTCTGTTGCTATATTTGTGAAGGTTTTCACCTATAAAGGACATGGTATAGCTAGTAGTAGTTAGTCACAATAAGTCAAACTTATTCTGTAATGATAAATGGATCAACATTACAGAACAAGTCCAGTTGAATGTGGCTAACTACTTCTAGCTTCTTTTAATATGTTTGGTGACAGGTTTAAAAAGGAGAACTATGGGGTTAAGGCTTTTCCCCATAGTTCTCCTTAGGGTAAAAGGAGGACACAAACTAGCGTCCCTCCGTCAGCCTAGGCTCAGTATACCGCGAGCTGTAGCTCGCGGTATACTGAGACGCCGCAGCTGATGCGGATCCCGACAATTGTGCCGGGATCCACCCAGCTGCGTGACTGACAGCTGGCTCTGCCTATCTAGAGGCAGAGCCAGCTGTACTCGCCCCCTCCCACGTCCGTTCCGCCAGTCAGCGCTGGCGGATCGGAGCGGGGAGGGGGGAATCCAGCCTCTCCCCTGTCACGGCAGAGAGCCGTGACAGGATCGAGAGGTGAGCGAACGCCGGTATGTGTTTGCTCACCTCCCGATCTACTGAGCCGACCTGTGGCAGTCTCATTGTCACAGGTCGGCTAGAACTATGAGGTGAGTGAAAAGCACTCACCTCATAGTTCTCCTTTAAGCTGCCTACAAAGCTTACACGGCAGAAGGTTGTACTGGACTGCTGAACAATCTTTCTAGCAATAGCATCTTTGTACCTTTGGAGGAGAGGGGGGGTGAAATGCTGCAAGGTCAGGTGTCTTAGGAGAAACAATATTGATTTGTTGGGAAAATCCGTCCTGGGAGATCAACTTTCCCAAGCAAGCTAAGCCAGGGGACGTAGGTTTAGGTTGTGGAAATGCCACACATTAACATATGAACTTTACCAGATCTGACTGTAACTAATCAGATTGCTCAAGGATGGTTATACACAGACTGTTCCAATCTGCTCAAACTCTTAGCCCAATTCAGACTAAGGGCTTTTTTTCCATAGGAGCTAGATTAAAGCTGAAAGCCCCCCCAAAAAATAGGTGGACTAAAACAACTAATTCAAGAATGGGATAACTGCTAGGCATGTTGTAAACTGTGTTTCTTAGAGAGATTAATACATTAAACGTTCACAATTGCCTACCTGATAACAGGCATGGCTTTTCCATCTCCGGCAGCGTGCATTGGTGGAGGAGGTGGTGGTTCATGAGGCCTTACCAAAACCCTTTCTTCACCCTGAACCCTGTTCAGGAGATCATTCATCTGACTGTATGGTAGAGCTGCAAGTGAGAAGTGTCCATCTGCATTTTCTCCATAAGCTTGTGGCCTAGTAAAAAAATGTAAGGTTATAGCAATGTATAAGCGAGAAAAAAAAAAAGTTTACCATTACTTGAACTACTCTTCAAAAAAAATTCTTAAGGTAAACAATCATTTTAGCAGATGTTATATGAAGCTTTTTGTAAAGATGAGCTTAGATATGTACATGCTTAATGGGAATCATATGAAGAATTCTGAACTCTTGGTCATTGTTATGGATTAAGTATTACTTAGATCCCAAGGCATTCCCACACCTTTGATTGCATGCTCCATTAAATTAAAATTACTTGAAGATCCAATGGAGGGAAGGGGATCCCCTCATAATAGATACATTAAAAAATGTAGGCCTGGGAACCTGAGAGAAATCATGGAAGTCCCAAAAGATATAGAAAATCAGTAGGGGTTTTTAATCTCTTCAGCATCTACCAAAGTCCATAAATACATACTTAAAACATTCTAACAATTGTAATGTATTAGGAGAATACACTGAGTGGCCAGATTATTATGACCACCTGACGTTTGTAGGCAAATTAGCTATAATTTTGCGCTGAAGTTGCTAGAGGGCCAGACCATTATACATAGGGAAGCAGGTTGTTTACCACGACAGTAGAAGTGATTTTTTTCTGAAGATATGGGTAAACAACGCGATTTAACAGCCTTTGAACGTGGGATGATTGTTGGCGCTCGGAGCCATGGAGCGAGTATCAGCAAAACAGCAGAATTCGTTAAATGTTCAAGAGCAGCTGTTGTTAAAGTGTTTAAAGACTGGACTGTCAGCCGAAAATCTGGGTCTGAATGTGCGAAATGTGGCCGTCAGCGACTGGTCAATGTTAGGGCAGAACGGAGAGTGGCAAGACTGGTACAAGACAACAGGACTGGACAACAGTGCCGTGTCAGATTCCTCGCATCACCTTTCAACATCTCGTGGAGTCACGAGGCGGCCCAACAAAGTCATCTCGTGGAGTCATCTCGTGGCCCAACAAAGTACTGATGGGGTGTTCATAATATTCTGGCCATTCAGTGTACAATGCAAACAAACCTTGTTTCATAATGTGATGCTGGTCCATTAGCTATTTCCATATGTTTCTGTATAAGTTCTACATCATCTTCTGCCAGCTCGGCACCAAGAGCCAGCTTCTGCCACTGCCGACGTCTGTCATGTGGAGCTCGAGGCACTTTCTCTGGTTCATGTGGACGATCAATATTTTTTTGCTACAAAGGCGGTTACAAAAATATTAAGCTATTGACATGCAAACAGCAGCATTAGCCAACATAATCAGCAGTCAGACACATTTTGCTTATGAAGCAAGATAAACCAATAAAAAAGTTAAGATATTAAATTGGTATGCTCACTACTGGAGGAGCAATAATGCTCTTGGCTTGAGCAAAGTCAATGTTGAACACCAGGCCATGTGTTCATTCAGAAAACAGCAATAAATGTACTGTCTAAAAACTAACTTCTACTAATTATCTTTCTACTACCTGCAGTATAGAAGAAAATTAGTCAAAGTGTCAAATGGCCTGAGCTCGTGGGTTTCCATTTGTCCAGGCACTGGGTGGGTGCCAACAAACTGGTCGCTAACCTACAGCCCTTTCACGGTTATAGTTGCACTTCATCAAGGTATAAACATTTTATCATCAACCTCAATAAATCAAGTGGATGTAAACTGCAGTGAGTGCCATGTAATGCTCTCTCTAAACCATTTCAATCTTCTATGCAAGACTGACACATACATTAGGCTGCTTAACGAGAACAAAACTGTCAAGAAATTTGAGAGACATTCAATATATATCCCTGCCCTGTGTATAATGTTCCTCCTTCTACTTAGTATATTTTAAATACCTTTTGCTTTCGCTTCTCCTTCCGTTTGTCCTCTGTGTCTTGCAACATCTTCTCTTTCCATAAGTCAAAGAAGTAAGATGGATTTGTGTAAAATTTGAGGCCTTCTTTACCATCATCTCTATAGGAACAAAATTAAGATATATTAATGTGCACGTTTTGCCAACTTCAATAATGTTTTATGTTAAGGTAATGTCAAACAATATATTCCTGACCCAGAACTAACTTCACAAAGCATTATCAGGATAGTAAGGCAATTAGCATTCTGACAAGCAGAGGTAGCAAGCTACCATATTTATCTCAGAATTGATGTTCTTGACATTAGGAGATATAAAACATTTGTATTCACTACAGATGTGGTTTAATACAGTTTAGGTTAGATGTCTGAAACACAGAAAGGCTCTTTAACTGAAAACAAAAGGGATTTGATATGGATGGTGGCAAGTAATTCTGAAACTGATTTGAAGTTATATGCAGTCCTCAGAACCACTACACTCTGCACATTCAAGAATAGAGTAAAATTAGAATTACAGATGAACTTCACATTTTTTTTATGAATATACAATCAACTAGCACTCAAAGACAAAACTTGATAGGATTTTAACTGTATGCAGCACGATCAAACACAGATTTCAAAAATGAATCTGTTAATCCTCTTGAGTGTATACTGGATGAGATGAGACTCCTGGCATCAATCTGCAAATTAAAAAGGAAGGAGAGGAAGATTCCTGGGATGGTAGTTTAACCTAACACTCGAGCAGAATGTTCACAGTACAGCACATTATTTTAATTGGCATATTTAAATAATCAGCATAAGCGTGTGACATCTGCAGTACAGCATGTCCTCACTGCAGCAACTAAGCTGCATGTTCAAAGACAAAATGGAAAAGGGGCAGCAACGGTCTCAGATCTGCACTGCCCCACAGTCTCCAATCAGATTCAAATTCCTATTTTCAAACAGTTTATAATCTGACTTTTATGAGGCAATGCAAAATGTCTTACACAAACAAATCTACACTTTGTGGAAATTCTAGTAGTATACAAACAGAACGCACTATCCAGAGAATTCCAATACTTCAGACTTTATTGAAATCCACAGCAAATCCCGTATAACAGTGAATAAAAGTGTATAAAGCAGCAAATACCAGCACCATTCTATGAATAAATCTCTGGGTGAAACCAGGCCCGGTGCTACCGTAAGGCAACTCAAGCTGCCTCCTGAGGGCGCCCAAGGGGTGAGGGCGGAAAAAATAGTAGCAGTGAGTGTGGCTGCAGCATGGACGGGTTCTGGGTTTTGGTCACTGTAAGCTCGTCCCCGCCCCTAGCTTCTCTCTGGTGCACACGCTTCCTGTGTGCCTTCATTATGGACGTTTCTAGGCTTTGGCCACTGTAAGCTCGGCCCAGCCCCCAGCTTCTCTCTGGTGTCTGGGCTGCTAAGCACGCTGCCTGCGTGCGACTTTGGAGCCAGTGTGGCTGAACTGTAGCTGGCTGCCTGAACGACTCTCTCTGTACAGTGCCTGAGCCGCTCATCATTCACTGTGACTGCACTGCTGACGTCTGACAGCCATCTTGATCTGTGAATGTGTCCCCTGTGGAGTGCAACTCTCATCTTGGACTGCATAGGTAAGTCAACCCTGCCTCTTCATGATCGTATGCTGCCTCAGCCTGCCTGCACCATGTGTTAGAAATGCTGTAGACAGCTTACGATCAGGAGGCAGAGTGAGGAGAGATGGAAAAAAAAACGCACTCTACAGATGCCTGCACCGTGTGTATATGTTTTTTTTTTAAATCTCTCCCTACTCTGCCTCCTCCTGAATTGTAAGCTGCCTGCAGCATGTTTTTTTTTTTACTTCACTCTCCCCACACTGTCACTATCTCCTGGTCCCAAGCAGCAGGTATTGGTAGAGTGCCCAGTGTTGGATTGGTGGGGGAGGGCAACAGAGCATTTGTAGTGAGAGAGTTGGCCACAGTGCACACAGAGGTGGTGGTGGGCAAGGAGAGAGGTGGGTACACATGCGGTGGGGGGAGAAAAGGAGATGTGGGTACAGTGGCAAGGAGACAGTCACCCAAAAGTGGCAGTGGTGGCAGGATCCCAAAAGGCGAGGCCAGGTGACCTCTGTACTGGGATGAAAAGTCAAGTGAGCAGGGGGAGAGCCGGTGGGGACAGTGGGCACAGAAGTGGTGGCAGGATAGGAGAGAGGTGGGCACAGTGGCAGCACAGGGAGGATTGCAGGGGGAGAGCCCAGGTGAGCCCTGCACATGCATTATTTTTTGCAATCGCACCGCACTGGGATGCAGAGCATTGCAGTGCCATGTGTTCCAGTGTGGGCAACTACACTGCATATAGGAGATGTGTTCGCAGTGCCATTGAAATAAATGGCACTGCCACACCCTCTCCAGCCCCAGAACGCAGGGAGGGTCCAATTAAGCGGTCCAGTGCATTCATGCCACAGGACTGAGAGATAAAAGCACTGGATGGTGTGAATAAATTAGAGACATTGAATCTATGACTCATGAATTAATTTAAGGCACCATATCATTACCTGTCTTTCTTGGTCCCAGAAAAACTCTACTGTGTTCTACTTGTGTTGGCAAAAATCTTTGCACCGGCCCTGGGTGAAACATGTGAGAGGTTGTAGCTGGTTGGGGGTGTGCGGTGCTGGTATTTGCTGCTTTATACACCTTTATACTGGATTTGCTGTGAATTTCAATAAAGTCTGAAGTATTGGAATTCTCTGGATAGTGCGGTCTGTTCGTATACTACTACATTCCAAGGTAGAGACGCACCTATTACACCACCACCTGGGGAGTCCTGATGGCAGCTAAGGAATTGGAGCAGTGAGATTTCCTTCCAACCATCCCAGGTTGCTGAGAGCCAGGCGGGGAGATGCATAAGGACCATACACATCTCCCTACCAAGCTCTTAGCAATCTGGGATGCTCTGGCCGGTATCACGCCAGCTCCTGGCAACCAGTGATGTCAATGTGGAGTTCAATCTAAACAGACCTGTAGGGTGTTAGGATATTAAGAGGTGGTGGGTGTTCACACAACTCATAGGATTCGTGAAGAGGAATTGGCAAGGTTTTGCGGTGAAACAGCTGCTGATCCTGAATGGTAGAACTTCTGAAAGCTTTCCTCATTGTAATGTCCTGCAATGAGACTGAAATGCAAATACAAATATAAGTGATCGAACATGAAAAGGTACGTGGTAAATAAAATATTACTAAAAAAAGTAAATTAGCTTTTTTTTATTTTTATTTTTTAAAACAGATGCTGCAACAAATGATCTTTCAGAGAACCTGTTACATGGCAAAATACACGAGTTATCAAACAAACAAATAAATAATATAGCAATTCAAGAGCAAAGGGTCAGATCCATATCAATGTCCATTGGTAACTGGTTCTCTTTAAATACAAACTTGTCAAGATAAAAATAGAAAAGCTATCACTGCTGTCTTGTTTTTAGAAGGTGCAGGCCATTTAGTCACTGCCGTAGAACACGCATGTGCATATCATGTGTCCTGACAAGTAAAAATGCGCATGGTTGTTCTGGGTCTGTGGCTCACAAAAGGAGTAAAGCAAGGAAAAAGATGCCAGCACATTCAAAAACTAGACAGCATTTGCAGCTCCTATATTTCTCTCTTGGCAGATTCCTAAATGTCTATTTTTTTTAGCTGCAAGTATATGGTTCTAAAAGTGCCCCCACGCTATGCAAGTGTTTTAGCCTGTGGCTTATGACCCAATTTTCTGTTCTGCAATTATTTTTCAAAGTGTACCAAAGTCTCACCACTGAAGCCACATCTGAACTCTATCTGACTGCCTAAACAACTTTCCAATCGTGCTCCTGAAACGTGAGACTGCCAAAGCTGCTGTGCATGAAGCAAACAGAAATTGCAAGGTCATTTATTCTTCTTCTACCCCCTTTTGCATGCCATACACAATAAGTAGAAATTAGGCTTTCCCTTGAGAAAGCACCACCATAAATTTGCTTATGTTGAAGAAAAGCCCTTACCTCAGAGTCTGCCTTTTTGCTACCCCAAGTTCCCTAAAAAGAGCTATACATTTCCTGGGTCAAGAGGATTTCTTACTACAAAAGGTGAGGAGGCTTGGAAACTGAAGCTCTATAGTCATGCCACCCAACACCACTGATAATACGGAAACTTTTCCATTGCAAGTGCAGAAGGTTTCTCTTATTTCTCAGAAGTCTCAAAAAAGAACAGACGTGGGCTTACAAAAGAGCACTTGTGACGAAGGCTGAATGAACGTTCTAATTCCACATTAATTTGTGCCCATTGTAACAATATATTTTACATTTCACAGCAGTCAGGCTTTCTTTAGATGCTGAATTGTGGCATTCCTTTACAGGCTTTTTACCTCTCTGTGAATCCATTGCACGCTAAAACTGGATCAATTCAATTTCTTTGTTTTATTTAATTCTGAGAAACATTGCGATCCATGTATTCTGGGTTTGACATTATTAGCAAAAGCCAGAACACCTGCAGAGTTCCCTAAGCAGATGCCTAGGATTCACTAGGACAGAACACAGTGGCCTATTTATAAAAAGGTCAGAATCAATATTTAATTTCCTTTTCCAGAAGAATTGTCCCATTCTGACAGTTTTTTTTCTATTCAGTTTTTCTATTTCTAGTCATAAAGCTGATGTGGGCGATATGTACAATCATTTTCACAGTATATTTTAAGGAATGTGAAAAAACCCATTAAAATTTGATCTGATTGACAAGCCAAATTGTACTTAATTAAGTCAGGGTGGCACAAAATAACAAGTGATAATTTGCAACTACTCATTTTTTTGTAAGGGTTCTCCAACAGAAAAGTCTCATGCTTGAGACTATATGCTGTAGACGGCTGGCCCTCCAGCTGTGCTGAAACTACAATTGCTATTATTATACAGAATGTATATAGTGCTAACAGTTTGTGTAGCGCTTTACAATATAAGGAAGACAGTTACAATACAATTCAAGACAAGATGGTTAGGAGGGCCCTGCCCGTGAGAGCTTACAATCGTTCCCGTGAGGCATTGCAAGACTGACAGCCATAGGCATGACTCCTAGAGGCAGATGCATGATAGAATTTGTAGATTCGCCACAGCTGGAGGGAAAGATTGCTGTGCTGTTTGTGGGAGCAGTGGTCTCCCTAAAGTAGTACGACATGCCCCCAGCTGAATCAGTTCTACAGCGCTCTAATTGGCAGGGAGCATGAGTTTTCACTACAGGATAATGCCAAAAAATGGGATGTTTGTATATGAGCACCATTACAATAATGGCAAGTATTGACAGTAGTAAGACAATTATCAATTTAGGTACACTACAATTGGACATTAAGCCAGCCTTTCCCTCGCCCCCCCCCCCCCCTTTTTTAATTTTTTTATTAGGAGGAAAGAAAAAAGAAATGTTGTTGTTCAATCAAGATTTATTGATTAACAATTTAGCCAAAGAGTTCTCTGCATATTAACAGACAGAAAACTCATTCAGGATATGCGATGGACAATATCCTGTCAACAAAATAGTGAGCATAAGTTCTATAACTGAGTGATCAGTAAGGATAGTTTAAGGTTTCTCTGACATTTTCTTCGTCCATAGCCCTAAGGTCTCGTTTGACACGCTATAGCAGGTTGCATAGCAGAACCTGCTAGGGAGAACAAGAGCTTGGAAATGGTTTCCGGATGCTTGTCAACCTGATCTTTAACCACTTGCTGTCGGGAGCAATTTCTTGCTTTAGAAAACTGAATTTTTGGCTATAAAACAGCCTAAAACCTCCAACAATTATATATTTTCTAAAAGCAAAGGCCATGTAGAATAAAAAAATGTTTTTTTTTTTAAAATAAATCTTTTATGTCACACGGTTTTTGCGCACATGTTTATCAAAACTAGTATTTTTAGGATAAAATACACTAAAATGAAATTTATTGCACAGAAACAGAATATAATATCCAATTTTTTGGTAAAACATAAAAGATGGGATCACACCGGGTAAATAGACAACAAACATGTCAAGCCTAAAAATGCGTGCGTCTGTGAAACCACAAAAAACTACAATACCCAAAATTTCACATAGGCAATGCTTTAAAAGCTTTTACTGCTCATCAGTTTAGTGTTAACAGAGATTGATGGGCCTAGAATTATTGCTCTCACTCCAATGTTTGTGACGATATGTAACAAGTGGGGCACACATTTTCGCCTTTGCACGTAGACCCACCCGGCGCGTTTGTGCTTCTATATGCGTGTACGTTGGGGCAGGGGACTTTAAAACATTTGTTTTGCATTTTTTTAATGTTACTTGTTACGTTATATTTTTACACTTCACTTTATTGCCTCTTTATGGAGGACATCAGGGGTCTTTTAGACCCATAATGTCACCTAGGTACCCCAAATAAGCAGATGAAGCAGAGATCGGCTTCACCAGCTCCTTCTCCTGGCTCTTAAGAGGCAGAGAATATGCACTGCGACAATGGAAGTGATCTAATACACATAATTTCCACATCCAGTGACCGAAGTTGAGATCAGCAGCTAGAAGCTTGCTGATCTCCCTCTGATCGATGCGTGGAGACCCGCCATGTCGGTGCTGGGCGCACGAGGGACAGAGGGCACACTCCGCCGCTTGGTACAAACGATCCAGGGCTGTATAGAAGCTAGATCGCTTGTATTTGAACAGCCATCGCTGGCTGTTTAGAACGGTACCAAGAACACTTGTTCTTGTTATAACCGATTCAAGGGTCCGGACGTATATATAGGGCAACCTGCTTGAAGGCGGTTAAACACGAACATCCTTGATGGGAAGAGTCAGTGTTTTATGAAGGAATTAAATGGTTGGATGCACAACGTGAATGGCCCATATTTTTTAGTAAACACATCCTCCATAGGATATTGCTTAGGGACACTGCAAGGCAAACTGGAGCTGTCAGAGGATCATGAGCGGGAAAGGCCCTTAGGACCAGATTCCCTTTGTGTTTAGGATCCGATGTATTGCGCTCCAAAGCAACTTAATCAATACACCAAGAAGACCTTGGTTAGCAGGGGAGGTTATACAGCCAGAGGTGACACCGTTAATCAGCAGCAAACATAAAAAGACCCGTGACCCTCGGGGGCAGAGCGCCCTGGTCATACAGGACAAAGCTCGGGGTTTACCTTAAATCATAGGTCTGAAGAGTGCCAAACCCATGCAGAACCAAACCCAGTGAACATGTCACTTTCCAGCAATTCTTCATCCCTTTTGTAGACATACTCCCAAGGGAGTCTTCAGGAAAATAAATGACACCAGAGGATGTCTTGGGCCCTGGAACTGTAAAGTGATCTGCGGCTAACAAACCAATACATTAGGAGTCTGGGAAGTGCAACAAGCAGAGCCCAGTGCCCAACAGTCCCATTACAGGCAAATGCAGCAATTTTAAGTCAGGCAGGGTCCAAGTATGGGCACCAAGTTAGAGCTGAGTATTAGCCGATCTGGATAGCTGCATAACCAGCTCAGCAGAATAGTGAAAAGTAGAAGCATCTAGTTAAAATGGGTAAACTTTTTTAAGAAACGGACCCTGCAAGGCTCCAAAACATTGGTATATATGTCTGTGATGCAGTTCTTCACAATAAATCTGTGAGACACAATTACATGTCTGGAGTGCTTGTGACTTTGCAGCCCTTGATCTGGTTTTGGCACAGCGACATCCTACGCTATCACTTCAAGCACTCACCTATAATATGAAGTGCTAGTACCGTCAACAATGCAGCTTCATATATGAACTGAATTGAGAATAAACTGTGCCGTGTCCTGTTGCCTTTCATTCCAGTTTCGCTCTCAAGTAGAGTGCTTTTTTGATAGCAGTATAACCTCCAAAAACAGTGGCCTCAGCTGTTTTTAGTTTTCTTGTTCAAGTGACATGGGAGTTTACCTGAGGCATGCTTTGTGTGTTCTAGGACTGTGAGAAATGCTGTGTAACTGAACAAATGTCTTGCCCCAGTTATGCTGTTTCGTAGGAGAGATGCAATCTTAAACTCATTTAACAATGAGTGTCATCGAGGGAAGCGTGTTGTACACGAAGTTGATGCGGCTCACTTGGAATTCAAAGTCTTTGTACAGAAGCACTGCAATTATCTTGTATTTTTTTCTCATGTTGCCTGACAACTCTCAATGGTAAATCAAGCAATAAAA